GAATAAAAATATTTCCACAGTCACCTTTTTGGATAGCCGCGTGATCTATTGATAAAATGTTGAATATTTACTCCCACTGTATCCCAGTTGAAATTCCAAAAGCCTCAATTATTAAAAAAAAAAACAAAAAAGGGGAATTCTTTCCATAATTTCACCAAAAAATAATATTTAAATCTATTAAAGAAGCATCTCAATGTCAAAGAACTCTCAGTTTCTCTGCCTCCTCCTCGGTCAACTTGGCTGCAAATCCATTGAAGCTTCTATAGTAGCTGTAGAGCAAAATTTCTGATGCAGCACTTCTGAATGCAATTCATAAATAGAAGTAATTTTATATGAAATGGTGAATCAAAGTTGAGTAAAACTTGCATTCAAATGCAAGGAAAATAAATGACAATTGACAAACCCCGGAACAATATCCTGAAGCAAGCTGGTGTGAAGGCTTGCAGCAGAGACCTCACCCTTTGGAAGGTCACCCATGTAAACAATGTAGACCTTGTTCAACAAAACAATTAGACGTGTCAGAACTAATTCTAATTCCTAAATCAACCAAATAAACTCAGGTTTCATGGAAAAATCTGTTTGCCTGTCTCTCATCAGAGGCTCCATGGCAACCAACAAGCGTGCTGACAGTGAAACAGATAACCATAAGCCATGTCAAAGGAGAAGTCTGGACCACCATTGGCAAGTTCTGTAGAATGAATAAGCTCCATTGGAAGGGGCTATACATAAGCATTGATTAATTGTACTAGGAATGAGCTCCATGGCTTTAATTTCTGAAACAAACTAATCGTTGTTAAGCTCGCAAATGGAAGAAAGGTGGCCATGGCCGGCTTTTACTACTTATGAAACAGTGTTATTTCTGCCAAAAGTGCTGATTACAACAGAAATTATTCAAATGTTCATTTTTGTCGCATATAATTGGCATTTGAATCGAACCGTTCAAAACATGTAGTACATATTGTTTGGTTTAAGAAACTTACAACAAAGTACTGCAAGTGCATTATTGAGAATGGGTCGATTTGGATATGTACTCTTGCTCTTGCATCAAACTTTTTCTCAAGTGCATATTTCCACTGTTTCTTAACTCTTAGGGATTAATTTTCTCTCTTTCATGTGTGACAAATAGTAAATATGGTGGAGTTTTATTTTATTTGTATTTTTGACCAATTAACCATTTCAATATTTGATTACTACATATCAAATATAAACTACCACACGCAACTGTTTCTTAGAGAATTTTTTTGGTAGGGAGAGTCTACAGTTTTCGAATGAAGGAAGGAGTCCTAGTTTTGAGATAGATAAGGGATTACATGAATCAAATGACCAAAGTTTCAGATTAATTGTTCAAATCAACGGATTGTCAAAGGTGTTCATGGGTTGAGTTAAGCCGAATTCATATTTAATATTAATAGTTTATATGTTTATTTAAATTAGATCTGACTTGATATTTTGAACTTTAAAATTTTTTCAAATTTGGCTCAACTTGAAAAAATAAATTTCAAATTCACCTATTAAATTTAATTTATATAATAAAAAATTTAAAAAAATTTAAAATAAAATATAAAAATCGAAATTCACATATATATTTATATAATTATAATATTTTGATTAATTATATTTATTTGAGATGGGTTGGGCTGGGTTAAGATTTTAATTCTTTTGTTTAAGGCTTAATTATTTAAGATTCAGCTTGAAATTTAAATGAATTTAAAAATTATATTCAAACTAATTTAATAAATTTTAATTTTTTGTTTAAGTTTTTTCAAAACTTAATTGAAGCTTCGAATTTAAGTGGATAGTTTGATCTTGAACAGGTCTACCGGCTACATGAACCACTTTTTTCTAGAGATAATTTGAACATTCAAAAGTTTGCTATAGTTTCAAACTTCATGACCATAAGCTGATTTAATATGGGATCAGGATCAGAATTCATGGTAATTAAGGAGCAGATCAGAATTGAAATGCAAAGGCTTTTTTATTGAAATTTCTGGGCATACATCTCTACTTTGTGTGTACGAGTTTGTAGCATGTGTTTTTTCTTTCCAATGGGAGAAACAAGGAAAAAAAAAAGAAGTAAAATCAGAAGAAATTAGTTAAGCCTTTCAATCATTCGATGCCCCATGGCAGCTAACAAGCATGAGACAAAGCAAAACTGCAGGTTAGGATGAACCACGTAAAACGAGAGCTCTAATTGCAAATATCATAAGCAATATAATCAAATTTCATTATTAATTATAAGTGAAAAATATAATCAATAACATTTTATTTATCCAAATATGAAATAAGAAATATTGTAATATTTTTTAATATTATATAATAATAAAATAATATTAACTGTAGTAATATTTATAAGAATTTAAAATCTATTAGAATTCTTACGTTGTTGTACAAATTGGATATATTTGATTTTTTTTTTGAAAGATGATATATTTGGGTAAGTTAACTAACTGATTGAAGTTAACAAGAATTGTATAAACTAATTATAGTTATACATTGCCCAAAAAATTAATTAAAATAACAAAAAATTTTCATTAATTTGTTTTTATAAATTTAATAATTTATGTATTTTAATATTTTTTTTTTAACTTAAGTGTTCGTGTCTGTTTATTTAATATTTAATATATGTAAAATATAAAAATTATCATATTTACACGGAAAATAATAAATATTTTTTTAATAATTTTTTATAAAATTTTATAATATATATATATATATATTTGGTTTTTATGCATTGAATTCCTCTCTCATGTCATGCTTATTCTACTTTTTCGTTAAAAAGTATAATATTATTTGTTATTATATTGGTAAATAAAATCTATTAATTTACGTTCTTCTGAATTTTCTTTTTACATTTTATCCGAGAGATTAGTGTGATGAAAGAAGGTATTAATGGTGGCTCTGTATTAGCAAAGCCTAGGGTGCATCCGATGATCTCCAAGTCCAGGGAAGAAGACGAAGCATTCGTAAAATCGCTTCCGTCGGGTTATCGATTCAAGCCGCTTGATTTTGAGCTTGTTGATTTTTATTTGTGGAGGAAAGTTTACAATCAACCGTTGCCACCGAATAGAATCAGGGAGGTTCAACTCTATAACTATGATCCTGATACCCTTACAGGTTTCTATTTCATAACCTCGTTTTCTTTAGGATTTTCTTGAAATCAGAAGATTGCAGGTATTGAAGAAAAAAAAAAATCGAGAGAGAAACTATCTTTTCTAGATGATTGTTGCATGATTTTTTTTAGTAGAGAGCTGTTTATTCTGATAAGTTGAGATAATTTCATTCAAATATTTTTATGTTAATATTTCATGTCTCACTCGTTTTATCACATGAAATATTCGATACAATCCTGATGGAAATTGAAGAAAATCTAAGCAGGATATAGTATATATATGTATAGTTTCCAATTCTATAGCAGTTTTTATAATGAAGGGGTTTTTTTTCTTTGTTTTTGAGAATAGAGATCAGTAATAATAAGTCATCAAATGGAGTTGTGAATGAATGGTATTTCTTCACTCCAAGAGACCGCAAATACCGCAATGGCACAAGACCAGAGAGAGGAGCTGGCGATGGATTCTGGAAGGCAACTGGAGCTGACAAGCTTGTCAAGTGTAAAGGAAATTTAGTTGGATTCAAGAAGACTTTAGTCTTCTGCAGGGGACTTTAGTCTTCTGCAGGGGGAAACAACCTCACGGTGTTAAGACGAATTGGATTATGCATGAATATGTATTAAGTAATCCTCCACCAAGAGAAAGAGCTAGCAATGATGACATGAGGGTAACCTTTTTTTCTTCTTTTTATGTTGCTTTAGTTCTGAATTATACTTGTATCTAGCATATATGTGATAGACATAGTCTAGCTTTGTTAATTGTAACTTTATTTATTATTGCTTATCACTTAATTAATGTTTTTTTTTTGTCCAGCTTGATGATTGGGTACTGTGCAGAGTGTATAAGAAGCAGAAGGATGCAAAGCCAAAACCTCAAACCCCTCAGCAGGGTACTGATAAAAAACAGGAGGGAGCTGAAGTTGCAATTCCAGCTTACACTGAAACCAAGAAGCAAGAATATGGGATTTTACCTCTATCTGATCAACAGTTTCAAGTTGAAGACTTCAACATGTTGCCACAACAAACTTATCCAATGCCTTTTTACCACAATATATATCATAATTCTTCATCTGGAGGACTCCCAAAGTTGCCTGAATCTTTTGATACGATGCTGGAACCTGACTCAACCATATTTTCTCAGCAGGCAGCTGTGTCTGAATATGGTAATTTTATACCAACAGCCGTAGATATGTCACCAATTCCTTCTGATCAGTTCCATTCCATGGGCCAAGATAATTTTAACATACAGCAGCAGCAGCAATTTTCAGATTTCCCCAATAATTTTGAGTTCACAGCTGATGATAAATTCCTTTTGGATGAGGACTTTGGCTTGCCAGATATATATAGAGATTTGTAGCACTGTAGCCAAAACAGTAGGGTTTGAATTTTTTTTTTTTAATTTTCTTGATGGATATGGTTTGAACTTTGGGCAATGGAAGTTTTGCCCTATTGGCATTTCATTTTAAGCAATTTAGGTTATTAGGTATGAAATTGTATGGTTTGGCTGGCTTATTAAGACTTTAGGTTTAGAGCTTGTTAATTTTAGCTACTTGGTATGTATATTAGGCAATTCCAGCAGTAATTTAACTGAATTCTCCAAGTCCAAGACTAAACAAATTTTTATGTTTTTAAGATGCATTCTTTGTTGCAAGTGAACGTGTGGGGTGCTGCTTGGCAAATGCCTTTGTTATTAAAACTTTCAGATTGGGGCCAAATTTTGGAGTCTAAAATTCCAATCATAACATTTCTTTTCCAAAGCAGCTCTTTCAAATTGTTGGTTGAAAATAGTGTTTTAATGTTCAATAAACAGAAGTATTTTAACAGTCTCTCTACAATAATTTTTTATATATATGGATTTTATAGAGAAGAGAAGTAATTATAGAGTTTTATTATCCATAGAAAGCAGTAAAGCTGCTACAAAACAAACAAGGCTGCAGACAGCAGCAACAAGCCAACAAGGAAACGATTGTCCACTATATAAGCAGGGATTTACTCAACCCCCAAGAATTACATAGTTCCTTATTTGCTTGAGTCCCCAGAATCATTAGAGTAGAGCTATTTGTAAGATATTATGATATTGAAATAAATACAACGATGGGACTCCTCACTATGTGCACACCATCATCCCATTCCAAAGAAGCAGAAACTATAGATTTATCAGTTTTTCCTTCAATTGTTAATACAAATGATAGCTTCTGCCCCAGAGATGTGAATGACAAAACATTTGGATTAACTTGTATCTTAAGTGCTCCTGGTGGGACAGTCACTTTTGCTCTATATATAGACATTGGTGATCCCACGTTTGTGACAGTCCTGTTGAAGGCATGGCTAATAGGTTTCAAGGGTGAGGTAAAAAGAGCAAAGGAAGGGTAGTTTAGATCCCAAACTGTTCCATTGGTAGCTTCAGAACAAGTAGAATTATCCCCGGTTACTAATTGTAGAAATCGAGTGCCATATCCTTGTCCACATAAAAATTTTATGTAGTCAACTTCCTCAGAATCATATAGTAGACCAGGATTGACAGCCTTGGTAGGATTCAAATTGCCTGAGCCGTAAGCAAATTCAGCGTCCAAGTTAATGCTGGAACTCATAGGGTAGGCTGCAAAGAACATTGCAATCAGAAAAATTAACTTACAGTCACAAAAAAAATTGTAGTTCAGGGAATTAATGTAACAAGTCATGGCCATTACCTGTGGTCATGAGGGCAGATTTAATAGCACCAGGAGACCATGTGGGATGAAATGATTTAACATAGGCAGCTGCAGAAGAAACATGTGGGCAGGACATTGATGTTCCTGAGATTATGTTGAATGGCGCGAATCTATTATCGCCTGTAAGTTGAGAAACAGGGGAAACTAAAGACCATGCAGCTAGAATGTGAACCCCTGGTGCAGACAAATCTGGCTGCAATTATTAACAACAATATAATGTAATAATCAGTCACATATAGAAGGGTATATGTACAGAAAGATTAGCTTTTCATCATGTTACCTTGAGTATGTCAGGTGTGATTGGATTCGGACCTCTTGATGAGAAAGAGACTATATAAGGAGCAAGTGAGTCATTAGCCTCATCACTCTTATATATAGTTGCAGTTGGGGTACTGTAATTTGTTTTAAAATTACATACAAGTGTTAGATGTCTTCAGTTACAATAAAAATGGGTGTTAAAATTATGTTGCTACCTTGTCAAGTTTACAAATTGAAAAATCTTTTCGCCATCGACTAGATCAACGAAAGATGCAGGCAAAAGATAGAAGTCAGCATAATCATATGGACCCTCGTCTCGCATCACTGCACCAACTGCACCAGCAAAAAGAGGTCCTCTCCCAGTGAGTGCTGCATCACAAAGAACAATTTTGCCCTTCACCAAATTCTGGTCTAGTGAATTCGTATAGCAATACCTGTACTTCAAGAACCAACCCGTAATCAGACATCATGAGTTAGATGTTTCTCATACTTTTATTTCCAGTTAGGAAAGGAAATTTCTAACCAAATCTGTTTTTCTCACCTTTCATTTGAGTTTGGATGTTAGTAGTATTTTCATTTAGTGATGATGCTCATATTAATTTGAAGCTTCTAAAGCCTTTTTTTTTTTTTTTTTAACAAAATGGTTAAGTTTCGATCCAACCTGGACAAACGTCCCGTATAATTTGCAGTAGTGTTGGGGGCATCACCACCATAAATGATAGGGTACATTTCGTTCTTGAGATCAAATGTATTTATTGATATTCCCTGGACACATGCCAGATAAGCAGATAAGTATTGAAGCCAAAGGAATCATAGTTGCAATATCTAACTAACTTTTCATTAAAAATGGAAATTCAATTGTGGTTGCACATAGCTTAATTGATTACTCAATAGTTATACTTCTTGCTTCACTTCCTATCATCTTGGACTGATAGTAACGGTATTACCTCATAAATCTTATTGTTTCCAAGCTGCATCTTGGTGAAAAATTTGCGGTCTATGGTGCTAGCAGCCACAGAAAGGGACCATGGTGAATAATTTGAGATGGTTGAACGGTCGGGGCCATCATTACCTGCAGAGGTTACAGTCAATACGCCATTTTTCATGGCATGAAAGGCTCCGATTGCAATAGAATCTTTGAAATAGGGTTGTCCTGATGATATTCCAACTGAAATAGATATAATGTCAACCCCATCTGAAATTGCATCATCAAATGCTGCAAGAATGTCAGCATCAAAACAACCATCTGACCAACAAATTTTGTACACAGCAATACGCGCAGATGGAACCCCTCCTCGGGCTGTTCCTGAACCAAAGCCATACAGGTTTGCCCCATTAACTAACTTCCCGGCTGCGGTTGATGCAGTATGAGTACCATGACCATCAGAGTCTCTTGGAGAATTAATGTCATTTAGGACAAAAAACCCAGAGCTGCGGTAATATTGTCCACCTATGATCTTACTGCATTTGAATATGCAGTAATGTTAGTTAGACAATTCAAGCACTAATGTGACTGATTATCCAAGACTACAAACAAATTTTTATGCTGTAATGCATAGTACTTGTTGCAAGTGAAATTGCCTGCTGCTACTTGGCACCTGCCTTTCCATTTGCTGGGAGGTGGACCAAGTCCTTTGTCATTAAAACTTTCAGATTCAGGCCAAATTCCGGTGTCAAAAACTCCGATGATAATATCACTTTCCAAAGCTGCTCTTTCAACTTGTTGGGAGAAGCCAATAAAGTCCCATGACTTTGTTGTATGAAGATTTCTTTTTTCATTTGGAAACACAGATACTATGCCTTCCATTCCTAAAATGTCCAAAGATGGATTAATCAGTTTCAAGAAAAGAAATGATCATGGCGAAATCATGCTCACTTACCAGTAATTTTTTGTGCTTGTTCCTCGGTTAGCTCCACCACGAACCCATTAAAACTCTTTTTGTAGCTATAGATCACTGACTTTGTAACAAATTGACTGCATCATTTCCATTTGGATAGTCAACCTCAATATACTTGAACAATTCTTTATTTCATACTTTCTGGTCTTACTTGCAACATATTATTGTTCATGCTTTCTTTCTAATAAATTTGAAATTGCTACATTAGAATTAGACTTATTCAATGGCTGGACTACTCATCTAAACCCAAAGGCTCTCTCAAATTTTAAGAGAGCTTTAACAAAAAAAATTTTGAAGCTTGAAATATTAGGTCAGATTAGGTCAAATTGGGTTTAGACAAATATATAAATTATTAATATTAAACATAAGTTCGATTTGAACCCAATCCGGCCCAACTCATGAACATCCTAATTAGAATTTAGAAAGTAGCCTTTATCTTCAACTTTTTCTCATTTAGAAAATGAAATACAAGAGGAGAGTATCATGACTTGAACCAAGACTAATATAACAGAGCTTTGCCTCAGTATTATTTCTTATTAGATTTCTTATTCAATTTTATATTAATAGTAGTAGACAATTATATGCACCAAAGCAAACTGCCTCCAAATTTACTAGTTTTCTTTTCAATTGTTTGTACGAAATTGCCTATGAACTCCAAGTAAATTCTTACTACTTGATCACTGATAGCAATCAAACCAGCCTTATACATTGATCTGCATTTCTATTCATTTTTATTCCCACAAATGGTGCAAATTATTTTCAATGCAAATGTAAGCAATTGGTATTTCCTTATACCTGCCAAAGGCATCTTGTAGCATGCTGCTATGAAGTAAGGATGTGGAACTTCCATCATTAGGCCGGTCGCCCATGTAGACAATGTAGCTCTGCAAGTTCAAAAGCGCAAAAATGAAATGCATCAACCACGAACAAGTTTGTCCAGATAAGGTGAAACAACTTAAGACATATTTCATGATCATCAAACCAGGAAAGAATGATAAAAAATTACTTAAAAAATATGCATATCTATATATATATATATATGAACAATCCAATCGATTCATATAAATAAATATTGCCTTTTTATTGGTATTGGATGGAGAATGATCAGATGCTGCTCTGTTAGTAAGCAAAGCCAAGAGAAGGCCATGGAGGAGAAGGCTCTGAAGAAGATATCGTCTGCCCTTCATTGAAAGAATGGTCAGATAAAAAACTTTTCCAAGTTCTATGTTGGAAAATGTGTTTGCCCAAGTATCAGTATGAGCTATGCATACTTTATAGATTCAACAAATTAATGAACACGTTTTTTGGTATATTATTCATGAACATGTTATTCCAATATGTAGATAATTTTTTTTCTTCTTTTTTTTTTTTATGGTTATAAATATCCAAAGCCTAACCACCATTGATTTGGATTTTTTTTTATAGATATGAAATAGGAACTTGGAATCGTAACTTTTGGTTCAAGTGGTGATGTAAGCACTTGACTTGACTTTAGACTTTTGCGGAAGGAATCTTTTTTCATCGCGATAATAGATTGAATTGAATTAGATTGAATTTAATATTTTTAAATAATTAATAATATTATAAAATTATAAAATATAATTTAAATCGATTGTTTTTTGGACTCCTGTCATGTCATAATTAATATTTATCAGATGTTACAGTTGTTCATCGTATCGTGAGATGAACTTCAATATTTTAAGAAATTCATATTCTATTGTTTTATTATGTATTTATCTTTTCATTTATTGCAAAATTTTCATTGGACGAAGATCTATTTTCTTGGGTGTTTTTTTGATCTTATTATTATTTTTCATATTAATAATTTAGATACTTATTTAAATTTAATTTAATCTAAAATTTTGAGTTTTAAAATTTTTTAAATTAGATCCAAATTAAAAAAAATAAATTTCAAACATACTCATTAAACTTAATTTATATAATAAAAAATTTAAAAAATAATTAAATTTAATTTAATGAAATTATATTAATATATATATATAAATTAATATTAAAAATTATATAAAAAATAAATTATATATAATTTTTATTTTTAATTTATATATAAATTTATTTATATATAATTTACATATATATAAAAATAAAAAATTTATATATATGTAAATAAAAATTTTAATATATATATATGTGTGAATTCGAATCAGATCGAATTAAATTTAAATTTCAAAATTTTTATTTAAAATTTAACTCAAAATTTAAACGAACTTAAAATTTATATTCAAGTTCATCCAATATATTATAATTTTTTATTCAAATATTTTCAAAACTTGAACAAACTTTCAAACTTAGACGAATGATTCGATTCTTGAAAAGGTCTATCAACAATGTTATTGGTCATAGCATGAATATACCAGCTTTCGTAAAACCAAAAATGACAATGACAAAGCATAGTCATAGACTATGATTTTTTGGTTTGTATTAAATGTTGGTTCATGCATGCTTGCAAGAAACCGGTTTAATCTAGTTTTTCTTGACGTAGATAATAATAACCAGACACATTAATAATGAAAATTTTGACAGGCCAAAGGGCCATGAAGACGTAATTCAATTATTTGCAATTATCATGATCACTTTTTTGTTAAAGTGGCCGAATTTAGCTTGGTTAGATCCCATTGAAAGACCGTTTTAAGTGCCTTTTAATCCGGTAATCTGTTGCTCTGTTTGGCTATGGAAGGCAATGTCTTCTCTCCTTCTCGTGAGGAGCCTTTCTCTCTCTCCAAGCAAGAACTTTCAGCAAAACAAACAGCAAGTTCTAGAATTTCACTAATCACCCTTTGCTATCAATAATCAATATTAATCATTCATCATTTTATGGTTAGTTTCTTCTCTTCTTCACACCTTATTTGTTTCTCAAGAACAAGAAAAAAGGAAAAAAAAACTGATGCATTTCCTTTTTCTCTTCATTTTCATTGGAAATAAATAGGTTCTTAGGATTTGGTTTTCCGTTTTCTTACATATGAAGAAATTCAGGGTATTGGTAATAGTGGTTAAGCCAAATTTGGATTTTTTTTTTTGTACAAAAGAGGTTGAGTGAATAGGGGATGAGATTGTAAGTGCTGATGCTCGAATCCTAAATTTACTAGATGCCACTTGATTATATGAATTAATTAAATTAAATTTTTAATTTCAAATTTGGATCATTTGATATAATGAAAGTTAATTTATTGTTTTTTTTTTAACGTAGCAGGTTTTGAATACCTTAAAAGATAAGTGTAAATGGCATATAAAGTGGATCATGAATATGATTATTTATTCAAGATTGTATTGATCGGAGATTCAGGCGTGGGAAAATCTAACATTCTTTCAAGATTTACAAGAAATGAGTTTTGCTTGGAGTCCAAATCAACCATTGGTGTTGAATTTGCAACAAGGACTCTTCAGGTTGGCTTTTCATATACATCAAATTTAATTATCTTTTCCATATATGGCTTATTTGCTCAATGTTTTTCTACTCACCGTTGCTGCTTCATTTATTCATTGTGTGATTCTGATATTTATATGTTCTTACACTAAATTTGTTAATCAAGCAGCTGAACAATGTTAATGAAATCTGAATTACATGGAAAGGGCAACTAGCCATTGATGATTTAATTGATACTTCTTACAGCTTCAGACAAAAGCACAAGAAATTAACCATCTTGGTCTGAGAAAAAAAAAAAAAAAGAGCAGTCAGTGTTTGGATTAGTATATTCTACCTGAGCTTTAGGGGCTGTTTCTCGCATTTCAGGTAGAAGGGAAGACAGTTAAGGCACAGATATGGGACACAGCTGGTCAAGAGAGGTACCGCGCCATTACCAGTGCTTACTATAGAGGTGCAGTTGGGGCTCTTTTGGTTTATGACATAACTAAAAGGCAAACCTTTGACAATGTCCTCAGATGGCTGCGTGAACTGAGAGACCATGCAGATTCAAACATTGTCATTATGATGGCTGGGAACAAGTCTGATCTGAATCATCTTAGAGCAGTCTCACAGGGAGATGCAGAAAGCTTGGCCGAGAATGAAGCTCTCTCTTTCCTCGAAACTTCAGCATTGGAAGCTTTCAATATTGAGAAAGCATTCCAAACAATTTTATTGGATATTTACCACATAATAAGAAAAAAGGCACTGTCAACACAGGAAGCAGCTTCCACCACTGGCCTTCCTCAAGGCACTACCATTAATGTTTCCAATCGGTCAGAAAATGGAAATAAAAGAGCTTGCTGTTCTACCTAGAAGGTATTTTTTGTACAAGAGGTAACAGAAAATGTTGCATTGCCAGCCAATTTTGTGCCTCCTTTGGGACAGACATGAAAACACTTTGTTCTGAATATGGGAAACAGGTTTTTGCTTCATAAAAACCATAGATTAAGCCAAACAATGGGGATTTTAGCAGTCTCATGTTTCGATCTGGAATTCACAGTTGGTTTAATGCATGGGAGAAGCAGATGAGGTGTTGTGAGGTGTAGCACTTGATTCTGTTTTCATTTTTTTTGAAAGCCTTGCTTATGTTGATTTCCTGAGCTTGCAATAAATTTATAATTATTCATGTTGTAAACCAATCTCTGTTACTCCCAGATTTAGATCCAAGATATGAATACAAAATTTTCACTTTTGACAGTTATTAGTGTACATGATATAAACTTGTAAGTTGTTAAATTACTGTTTGACCTGAAAGTGATGGAGCTGAGTTAATTGTGTAATTTTTTTTATTTAGCAAAATTAAATTCAAACGAGTGATCTTCAATTCAAATCTTGAAAACAAACATGAATTTTCTAAACATTTTTTTTCATGGCTGGATATAATATACCACAACATAACAGAAGAAACAGGCTTAGAGTCACCATTGGAACCAACCAAGATGAAGAACAAACCTCGCAAGCTCCACTTTTCCAACCAAACCAACCAGCGTTACTTTCTTCTTCTCATCAACCAACTTTGATGCATACTTTGCTACAATCTTTGTGCTCAAACACAATGCAAAACCCAAGAGATATTAATTACCAGTTCTTTAATGGCCAGGGTTTATCTTTGTCTATATCTTTTCAACAACATGATAACATGAATCTCCCTTTGAACTCGGATGCTCAAAAAAGCTCTGGGAATTCAATCTTGGGAGGTCTTTTGAAGCAGAATGGCCAAATGAGAAGTTCTGTTCCACTTGGTCCATTCACTGGGTATGTATGTGTGTTGAAAAGTTCAAGGTTTTTGAAGCCTGCATAGCAGATTCTAGATGATTAATTTTTGTGGTGTGGATTATAGAGTTTTAGACTTTCCATTGGAGAGCTTATGTGATGGTGGGGTTGGTAAGGATGCAATTACATGCAGTGACAGAATTTAGCATCGTTGGCATCAGTGCAAATGACAGTAGGAAAACTGCGTTCGATTTTCAGTTAATATACTGTAGAAATGAAAATACTATATGATCATTTAAGTGGAGACTAATGAGACCGGTGGATGCATGTTTGAAAAGATAAAAGAAAAGATGTTGATTGTGATATATTCACTTCCTTTCAATTAAATTGTAGCTGATGATTTAATTGTTTGTGTCAAAGAATCAGTATCAGTATCCTCAGGGTAAGATATCTGATTTATCTAGTAGAGATGGCAAAAAGATATCTTGTCTTATCATATTAAATCATGTTACTGTTCCTTTTTTGTTTTGTTTTGGTTTTGCATTTTCTCTATATATTGTTTCCTTTTAATCTTTCCTTTCCATCACCCCTTCTGTGTTCTTGGTAACATCCCTGTTTGTGTGTGTTCTGTGCACTGCACTGACAGTGGGGAAAAGCTCTCTTAACCTGCATATGACCCTGAAGCTTTCCCTGTTAGAGAGGCCTGTTGAGCTTGTAAGGGTGACATTGGAACACACAAAAAGGGGAAATGCAGTTCTTATGTAGGAAACTTTAGTAGGGCTGCACCAATTTGAGTATTTTCAGTTATATGCATGCCTGAAATCTATATTGCTTTGCATCAGATGAAATGTGGCAGCAAAGTGTTTAACATGTTTTCATAGCTAGAAAGCTAATGCAGGCAGCAACTTATTGGTAGTGAGGAAGATTAAAATATTCCAACCTGTTCTTCCTTCATCTCCATTAGGTATACAGGAAATACAAGTTGTACTGCCAGCAAATGCAATCAGTTGTTGCATTATTCAAATGTGTTTGTGGACTTGGGAATGCAGCTTCTTATGTATGTTTTTGCTTTCAAAGCCATTGCAAAGCATTTTAGCTGCTTGAAGAATGCCAGTGTCATGATAATGTTCCAAGCCTTTGGACATCTGATCAAGGGA